GAACCCTCTTCTGGGCCCTTCAATCATGACGTAAGAATCAAAACCCTCTTTCTAGGTACAGAAATTACTCGATGGATTAGAACAATGTGTATTTCATTAGGGCTTGCGATTCTATGAGAATTTTAGAAACTGTGTTCATTAGGGCTTGGTCTAATTGAATAATTACTCGTTAAATTACAGGAAATTAGCATATGGGTTTGCTGAATTTGGATGAAATCTAATGACCCATTAAGAAAAAACATGATTTCTGGAATTTTTTTTTCCTGGATTGTGCAGAATTAGGGCAAAAACAGGGGAAATTATTGGTTTGATCTGTTTTTTTCCTTTACGTTTTGGAAAATGGTGTTGCAGTTTGAAACGATATGGGGCTTTGGATAGAGAAGCTGTAGTGGAACGTGGGGAAGGATGGCGCTTGCTGACCTGTATGTGGCTTCATGCTGGAGTCATTCATTTGCTTGCTAATATGATCAGCCTTCTCTTCATAGGAGTTCGTCTCGAACAAGAATTTGGATATTGTAAGCTCGTAGGATCGGTTTGGAATGACATTTTAAGTGCAAATAGACTCGTAATGTGGTATGTATCGATTCTTGACGACATTTGGTGTTTGTTTTTGGTTTTGGCAGTGAGAATAGGATGTTTGTATGTGCTTTCTGGGTTTGGTGGGAGTTTACTGTCATGTTTGAGTATCAATCCAGCTGAAACAACCATATCAGTGGGTGCATCAGGGGCACTTTTTGGGCTTTTGGGAGCTTTGCTTTCAGAGCTCATAACGAACTGGACAATATATTCAAATAAGGTACCAAAAACAAACAAAACCCTTCATTTGTTTCCATTGAACTATTGAAGATTTATGAACTTATAATGACTTGTTTTGTCAATGAAACTCAGTGTGCAGCCATGATGTCTTTGATTCTCATCATTGCCTTAAACCTGGCAGTCGGATTCATACCTCACGTCGACAATTCCGCTCACATCGGAGGCTTCCTTTCAGGCTTCCTCCTCGGCTTCATCCTCCTAATCCGACCGCAATTCGGATACGTTAACCCCAAGTACATCCCTGCAGGGTGTGATGTGAAACGTAAATCCAAGCACCAATGCTATCAGTACTTTTTGTTGATTGTAGCTCTAATCCTCTTGATTTTCGGGTAATCGAAATTGTAGTTTCAGCGACGATATCTTCCGGTGTTGCTCGAGTTGCTCGTTGGGTTAACTTTTTTCCATTGCGATTTCTGCAGATATGCTTCCGGTTTATCAAGGCTGTACAAAACTGGTCCACAAATATTGGAAGCCCATTTTTTCTGAAGACAGTCACACATTGAGTTGTTGGTGAGAATCAAACTACTTTGGCTTCATAATTGTTTGTGGATGAAGTTCATGAAATCATTTAAATTTGTATTCATACGATGAAATCATTCTAATGTGAAAGTTGGATTTCTTCTCACTTTGCAGTAGCAGAAGAATTGTATTGTAGAAAACACTCACTTCTTTGTTTACAAAATGAGGACTTTTCTTTTCCTTTCCTTCTGTCTTTCTTTTTGTTTCTTCCATTCCTGTTTGCTTTTGGTTCGGTACGGCCTAGACAAGACAAATGTTGTCGACGATGGGTAGCCCCTCGTTTCACCTATCGAGATGTAAAAACTCAGAGATAGGAGACTGTCAGACTGCTCGTCGTGTGATGGGTAGCCCTTGGATTCACCTCTTGAGATATAAAAACTCATCTATAGAGGAGACTATAAGACTGCTCGTCATGTGATGGGTAGCCCTTAGATTCACCTCTCAAGATATAAAAACTCATCTATAGAGGAGACTGTAAGACTACTCGTCGTATGATGGGTAGCCCTTAGATGCACCTCTCAAGATATAAAAACTCATCTACATAGGAGACTGTAAGACTGCTCGTCGTATGATGGGTAGCCCTTAGCTTCACCTCTCGAGATATAAAAACTCATCTCTAGAGGAGACTGTAAGACTGCTCGTCGTATGATGGGTAGCCCTTAGATTCACCTCTTGAGATATAAAAACTCATCTATAGAGGAGACTGTAAGACTGCTCGTTGTATGATGGGTAGCCCTTAGCTTCACCTCTCGAGATATAAAAACTCATCTCTAGAGGAGACTGTAAGACTGCTCGTCGTATGATGGGTAGCCCTTAGATTCACCTCTTGAGATATAAAAACTCATCTATAGAGGAGACTGTAAGACTGCTCGTTGTATGATGGGTAGCCCTTAGCTTCACCTCTCGAGATATAAAAACTCATCTCTAGAGGAGACTGTAAGACTGCTCGTCGTATGATGGGTAGCCCTTAGATTCACCTCTCGAGATATAAAAACTCATCTCTAGAGGAGACTGTAAGACTGCTCGTCGTATGATGGGTAGCCCTTAGATTCACCTCTTGAGATATAAAAACTCATCTATAGAGGAGACTGTCAAACTGCTCATTATATGATGGGTAGCCCTTATATTCACCTCTTGAGATATAAAAATTCATATCTAGAGGAAACTGTCAAACTGCTCGTTATATGATGGGTAGCCCTTATATTCACCTCTCGAGATATAAAAACTCATCTCTATAGGAGACTGCCAGACTGCTCGTCATGTGATGGGTAATCCTTGGATTCACCTCTTGAGATATAAAAACTCATCTCTAGAGGAGACTGTAAGACTGTTCGTCATATGATGAGTAGCCCTTAGATTCACCTCTCGAGATATAAAAACTCATCTATAGAGGAGACGGTTAGACAGTTCATCTTGGTCATATCATGGGTAGCCCCTCAATTCACTGTTAGACTGTTTGAGAATATGGGTGGCATGAGCATTTTTATTTCAAGATATTGAAATATTTAATAATTTAAAATTTCAAGGACATGAGTTTGTAGATGGTTGGCAGTTGAAATTTTCTGAATTATTAAATTCTTAATTTATTTTAAAATTTTAAAATTTTAAAAAAAATATATATATATATATGTAGATATATGTTTTTTTTTAATTTTGGAAGATCAAACATTGAAATTTATATGTATAAAATAGTGTTTATAAACTTTATTTCTAAAAATTAAAAAAAATAAATGAACATCAAATAAAGATTTTATTTGTCGTTTTTGTTTTTAAAAAGCTGAACCCTTCTACGAAGGATGTTCGTGGGGACATAACCAAATTGTTTCGGCTATAAATTTTTTCAACCTGAACAACTCTTATTAAATAATAAACAAATTCAACCCTAAATATTTTAGATTCTAAATAAAATTAAAATTTATAACTTTTTAGAAAATTAGAAAAAAAAAATTATATATAAATATAAATAATTATATAATAAGAAAAAAACGTATACTTTCAAATTAACAATAAATTTGGTGGTTTAGTTCAATCCCGGAGAATTCATGAACTAATCAAATTCATGAAATTTTCATTTATTTGAACCCGACTCAATTTAAATAAGTTCGTAACCTTATTCAAACCAAAAAAGTTCATAACCCAATTTAATTCCAGATTCAATCGAACTTTTTGAACGAATAAGAATAATATATATTATAATATATATATATATATGAGACCCACCAATTATATGTGGCAAGTTGATATGATTTGGACGGTTCAACATGTTCTTGGCAAAAGAATGATTAAATTGGCTGCCTTTCACAATTAGTATGTTTTGGATTAAAGGCAATAAAAAAAGACCATTAAATTATTATTATTTTATATAAGTTAATACCTTAAAAATAAAATTTGACAAAAAAAAAAAAAAAAAAAAAAAAAAAAAAAAAAAAAAAAAAAAAAAAAAAAAAAAAAAAAAAAAAAAAAAAAAAAAAAAAAAAAAAAAAAAAAAAAAAAAAAAAAAAAAAAAAAAAAAAAAAAAAAAAAAAAAAAACCCCACAAATTAAAAAGGTGTCACCAATCTAATCATACTTTATTTCCCCCTTCACATCATATTATCCTTTAAATTATGATATTTTTAATTAAATAATTTTAAAATAAAATACCTTGAAATTAAAATAAATAAATAAATAATTGTTTGCTTGTATAAGTCAATTAAAATTCTTAATATTTTAGTGAAATAAAATATATTCATCGAGATTAACGGAATATTTGATTAATCAGATTAATTAAACGGTGGGTATTACCAAAACGTGGCAGCACAACAACCCAATTATAATAATTATAAATTGTAATTATTAAATATAATTTTATTAAATGAATTAATTATATATATATATTTTCTGTATTGGTAGATCTTTATAGGTTTATAATATTTTTGTTTGTTTATATGAATTAGGAAATTAAATTAAAAAATGGTTTTTTATACTGTGTGGGCAAAATTAGATAAATTACTAAAAATTAAACTATTGTGTGAAATTACAAAAATGGGTATGGTAAGGGTACCCAACAAGCTACCTTAAATGAAACAATTTGTAAATATATAAAAAAAATACAGTAATTTAAAATAAATCAATAAATATATTTATAAAATTAAAATAGGTGGCCATGCCGCTAGTCATGGTCCACACACCCCTAGTTTAATTTTTTGAATTATAATAATTAAAGTGAAATTAAGCAATAAATTTAAACTAAATTCTCAAATTATAAATATTAAATAGATATGGATTATATTCAAATATTTCCCGACCAAAAAATATTGGAAGGAAGGCTGGAACGCCAACAGGTATCTATTATTGAATTCTTGACCCGATAGTACCCTGTTTTTTAAACGTCGAGTGTCAAAGTCATTGAAGAAGTAAGTCTTCGATCCTTAAAACGAACCATGTAATGTATTGTATTAATTTACCCTTGTTTAATTCTTGTTGAAGTATATACTCGGGGAGGTGTAGGATAGAGATTTAAAAGCGAATATTAAATTTGATGATTTAATTAATTGAAAAGGTAACAAATTTTTAAAAAATATAAAAAAGGTTTAATCTTGAAAAAATAAAAAATAAATAAATTTAGGATAATTTTTTTAAAAAATGGGAATAAATGGAAGGTAAATCAAAGAGGAGCTGAAGGACCCCCGTTTGTAGGAATAAAAGTAAGGCTTTTCTTCTTTCTTCAACCTCTTTTCTTCACCAACTTGCCATAGACGGAAAGTTGCAGAAGAAGAAGAAGAGAGGCGGCCAGGATAATCGGAGGAGATTTCGATTCCTGAAGGAAGGTCGGAGTGCGATTGACAGTCACGTATAGTTTCAAGGTTATCTCTTATTCTTCTTGGAACAAGCTTCAATTTCTCTGTCTTTCGTTTAATTTTCCATTGGGGGGTTTCCAAGTGCAATACTGTTAACACCATGATTCTTCTGATTCTTAGGAGCTGCTCTTTGATCTTCTTTCCTGGAATCGATTTTTCATTGGCTTTTCTTTTCCCCTGCAAATCCTTATCAGTTGCGCGTTTTTCATTCATGGGGTAAATTTTCTGATCATCTTAATTGATGGATTTTTAGCAGTTTTCTTGTTATGCAAATTAGATTTATATTGGTAGGAATCGATATCAAATTCTGCATTTGAGTTGTTTGCTTTTGGCTGCAAACAAGATCGGAAGACGAAGGGGGGAGGGGGGAAACGCTATGGTTTAGTTTAGCTTTTTTGATTAAGATCCTGTTAGTTTTGTTTGTGTTAATTGAAGGATGCTTGAGAACTTCTCCTCCAGGCTGATTTCCTGTAGCTGCCATGTTCTTCGTTGTTCAATTATTTTAAAAGGATGAGGCATCTCTCACTTTTTGGCTACTTTATGCTTAAAGTTAACTAAAAGTATTATCTATTGTAATTGAGTATGCTTGATGTCTGTTGACCATGTCGAAGCTAATAACTTCGTTTAGACTTCTGCAGTGTTATTTCTTACACCATTCATATTAATAATTCATGTGTTTAGGCTTTGTGTTTATATCTTGATATACAGGCTTGCGTTGACCTAATGGTCAATAAGGATCAATGTAAATCGTAAATGGTTTGAAGGTATTATGAGGTCGTTACTCCGTTAGTATAATCAATAATTTCAATAACATTAAATGAACTTATGCCATGATGACTGCTTACTTAGGATCTAATAATGTCCCAAGAGAAACATAGAACCTAGCAAGGGACTTAATACCTTAATTGACTCGATATACCTTCTAAAGATCCTATTCTTTCTCGCTCCCCACAACCTCCACATAAAAGCACAAACACCGGCATGCCATAAAAATTTTCCCCTGCCAAAAGGGCAGATAGAGGAGAAACGCCTCGATCATCTATGTAATAGCCCAAGCCCATCACTAGGAGATATTGTCTTCTTTGGGTTTTCGCTCAAGGTTTTTAAAACGCGTCTGTTAGGAAGAGGTTTCCACACGCTTATAAAGAATGTTTCGTTCTCGTGAACTTGTCCCACATCGATTGAAGAAGGGAACAAGTGCTAGCGAGGACGTTGGGTCCCGAAGGGAGTGGATTGTGAGATCTCACATCTGTTGGGGAGGAGAACAATGCATTTTTTATAAGGCTGTGGAAATCTCTCCCTAACAGACGCGTTTTAAAAACCTTGAGGGGAAGCCCGAAAGTGAAAACCCAAAGAGGAAAAAATCTACTAGCGGTGTGCTTAGACGGTTACAATCTAGTTGTAGTCTCTATGAGTGGCGGATTGGAAATATCCTATGACAGCAAAATATAGTAGGGTTAAGTGGTTGTTTTCTGAAAATAATCAAACAAAATCACAGCTCATATGTTAGGCACAGTATTGAGATCATATTGAAAAGGTTAAATTTACTTGGTGCAAACTATTGGAGTTTTGATTGAATTGTTCTTAGTTCTGCCGATACCAGTAGTTTTGGAATGTTGGCATATGCTACTTTGTCATCCGGAAAACTCGAAAGTGCTCGGATCATTCAGATATTCCCCTAGTTGTGTTTTATTTTATGAAAAGTCCTGTCAAACTATTTGTAGTCATCTTCTCCCCAGCTTACATGGTTGAAGCTTGGAAGGGATTGCCAGGTTAGATCAGATGTATTACTAGACAAGATTCCATAAAAATATTGATCAGCACAGTTTCAGAAACCTCTGTGCTTATGGATGCTTTGTTTGTCATTAATCTTTTGTTTATTCAGTTGATAAACCATTTTAATCTGGTAATACTCATGTAACATATACAATTGCTTTACGTTTGATATAAATCATCAGGTTTCCCATCGGCCATGTCACGGTGTTCGATCTAAGAAGTGATTCTTGATTATGAGACTTAACTATGCTAGAAAAATACATTATATTATTGAATCTGATTCGACTTTTTTTGTGTGGTGAAGATGAACTAAGGAATTGATTCCCCACTTTAAAATGGTTATTTATAGATATGCATAGTGTTTTAGCATTGATTTGATGAAACAAGGTGCTTCTAGGTATCACTTTTGAGTATGTAGTTATCAGTTATATGATCACTTTTGGTTTGTAACAGAACAGTGGTTGTCTTGGATGCTACACAAAGCCCAAACTAAAAACTAAGCTCAACGAACCGTCGAAAGGTCAATCAATTCATTGTGATGGACTAGAGAAACCCAGCAGATCAGAGGATTTCTGGACTACTAGTACATTTGATGTGGACAACAGTGCAGGTCAATCACAAGGTAGTATGTCATCAATGAGTACAATCAACCAGATGCACAATCCGCACGGTAGCTCGGGCAACGTACACAACCCTTCAGAATTTATAAATCATGGTTAGTATCTTCCTGCTTGCTCTGCACTTTCAATTCCTCAATTGGTCATGTCAAGGCAAATTAATTGTACTTATGTAACGGCTCAAGCCCACCGTTAGCAGATATTGTCCTATTTGGGCTTTCCCTTTCAGGTTTCCCTTAAGGTTTTGAAAATGTGTCTGGCAGGGAGAGGTTTAACGGCTCAAGCCCACCGTTAGCAGATATTGTCCTATTTGGGCTTTCCCTTTCAGGTTTCCCTTAAGGTTTTGAAAATGTGTCTGGCAGGGAGAGGTTTCCACACCTTTATAAAGAATGTTTTGTTCTCCTCCCCCAATCGATGTGGGATCTCACAATCCACCTCCTTCAAGGCCTAGTGTCCTCGCTGGCACTTGTTCCTCTCTCCAATTGATGTGAGATCTTACAATCCACCCCCCCTTCGGGACCCAGCATCCTTGCTGGCACACCTACTAGTGTCTGGCTCTGATATCATTTGTAACGGCTCAAGTCCACCGCTAGCCGATATTGTTCTCTTTGGGCTTTCCCTCAAGGTTTTTAAAACACGTCTGTTAGGGAGAGATTTCCACACCCTTATAAAGAATATTTCGTTCACCTCCCCACCCAATGTGGGATCTCACAACTTAAGAGTTTTGAACCGTAAATGGACGATTTGATTAAGTTTCTAAAGTGTAATTTGCGAATTTGTTCATTTACTATACCTTTTTACAACCCGGTTCTCTCTTTAATTCTTCTATGTGATCATCCCATGGCTTTGAAGAATGGTATTGGCACTGAGTAACTATTTTTTGATCTTGGTTGTAGGCTTTCTTCTGTGGAATCAAACTAGGCAACGCTGGACAGGGAATAGATCCGAAAACCGAGCACCGCAGTTTCAAGAACCCAAGCTAGAGTAAGCTGCTCTCTAGTCCGTCAGATTAACAAAATCGAACATCAGTACTTCGTTATAGTAATCTTACTCGGCTTTCCTATTGCAGCTGCAATGCAACATATGAAAATTTACTAGGGAGCAACAAGCCATTCCGCCAACCAATTCCACTCAGCGTAAGTTCTTGATCTGTCTAAACTCTTTCCTGTTCTGGAAACCAAACCAACCTCGAACCGAATCATATCGTAGATTGATGTTGGTTAAAACGTGCAGGAAATGGTAGATTTTCTTGTGGATGTATGGGAACAAGAAGGGTTGTATGATTGATTAATTTGAAGAGTGCACAAGGCTTCATAGTCTCACTGTGAGTCAATGGCTTTATTTGAACCATCAAAATCTGCCTTGTATTGCTGAAACGTCAAATGAACATTTACCCTGTTGTTGCTGCTGGCCCCTCTTTTTGGTGCTTGGTTTGATTTTCTCGTAGTGCCTTGGAGCTCTACATCTTTACTCTGCTGTAGAAAATTCAGCTGTGCTAGAAGTTACTGTTTTTGCAAATTATTTTTCTTTTCTTTCCTCTAAGTAATGATAAACAAATCTCAACATGAACGAACAGTAAATTAAATTACAAATTTACTCACTAAATTTTAAATTACTTTTGAAAGTTACCGTTTTAGTTCAATTAAAAAAATAAAAAAAAAGTTATGATGGGTAGACACAAAATCGAATTTTTTTGAATATTGAAAAATTATAAAATTTATATTTATATTTAATGGATCAATTCGTGAAGTTTTGAATTTTTTAAAAATTTATTAGACTTAAAATTGAAAGCTATCCCTCTGCCCGATAGTTATACAGTAAGTTGTTGTCGTCATTTGCTCTCATTCCCATATAATACCAATTTCAATTTCTTTCTCTGGTTGTCAAAACTCTCTTTTCAAAATCTCTCTCCCAACATTTTAAAATCTTCTCTTGAAATTGAGACTCGAGGTTTATATTCACGTTACTCGACCGCAGGCAACGTAACTCGAAGTAGGCTTGACTCACATAGTGCTAAGAGTGGGTGCTGCACAATTGCCAAATTTGCTGCTTAGAAATTGTGATTGTGTTGCTCTGAGTTATAATTTAGCATGACTAAATAAACCTAAATTTTATAGTTACAATAATTAATTTATGATTTGACTGTTATGTTTTTTTTCTTTTTACTTTTTTACTGTGAAAATCTTATAAAACTCAAATATCAAATATTCACAAGTTATGATATATCACTAACCGCCATTACAATAGTCAAATATTTTTTATTTTTATAATATATTTAAAAGTATGGTAGGTTCGAGTTGGATTAGTCGGGTTAACCCAACTCTATGAACTACCTGATTTTTTTATTTTTGGATTCTTATGATTTTAGTTATTATTGTTGGGATTTAGTTATTATTGTTGGGATTTAAGTAAGTATTTATGAAATGGAAGAAATTAGTTGGACAAATTTTGGACAATTGGAATTTAATGAAGTTTTATTTAAAGGACAGATTGAGAAATGATAAGACACGACCACAAGTCTTTCCCAAATAAAGAAATCTACGAATGAATAAGACTTGTCATTGTCAGCAAATAAGATCATTTGGGCCCACACTCACCATTCAGAATTTGACACGTGTACGTTGATTGGATTTCTTGCTTGTGATTATACAGTAAAAAGGAAATTCAGACCCCAACACAACGAGTCGGCCACGGTCTTTTCGATCATCATATCGCGGATTACAAGGATCTAAATCCTAGCCCTTCAAATTGATGACGTAACTTCATTGATCTCAATCCTCACCGTTCATTCCATTTTAGCCCTTGAAACTCTTCTCTAATAGACGCGTTTTAAAATCATGAATCTGACGGCAACACGTAATAGGACGAAGTGGACAATATCTATTTTACGATGGGCTTGGGCTATCACTCATGGTATAAGAACTAGTCACCGAATGGTGCAATGCATGGATTGGAGTAGCCACGCATTTTAAAATTGTGGGGCTGATAGCGATATGTTACGGACCAAAACGGACAATATCTACTAACAGTGGACTTGACGGTAAATATTCATCGTGAGCATTCCAATAACAAACAGAAATCAGACCGTCCATTTTGCATCTCATGCATGTTAAACAATAAACACCGAATTAGGTAAACATTTTGAGAATTGAACAGCGAGTGATTGGCCAAAATTCTTCAAAAATTTAGGGTTCTTTGGGAATATATATGTATATGAACAGAGATTATATGCTGTTTCCAAGGGAGGACGAATGAACTTCCACACTCCAAACCCTTTTTACTTTGCTATAATGTCGTATGGATCGTAGGGTTAACTTGTTCGGTTTTGTGAACCCTAATAATTAGCATAACTCGACTTATGGGTGTATGTTTAAAGCATTTAGGCATGGAAGCGAGAACATTATGTGAGAGTTTAACGTGTTTTAATATGAAACATTTGTGAGAATTTTGTTGGAGTCTCGCGTTGGTTGATTAAACGAAAGATCTTTGGTATATAAGTAAGAGACATTATTTCTATTGGAACGTCTTAAACATAAACGTTTTTTAAAACTTTTGAAATCAAATAAATAAACTTGAAACTCGTAACTTAAATATCAAACTTAGTGTGAGATCTTGTATCGGTTGGAGAAAGGAATGAAATATTATTTATAAGGACGTAAAAATCTCTCCCTAATAGTTGCATTTTAAAATCATGAGGTTGATGACGATACGTAATGGGCAAAAACGAATAATATCTACTAGCGGTGGATTTGGGGCACTATAGATGGTATTAGAGCCAGACACAAGACGGTATATCAGCGAGGATGCTGGGCCCAAAGGAGTGGATTGTGAAATCCCACATTAGTTGGAGAGGGAAACGAAGTATTCATAAGGGTGGGAAAATCTCTACCTAATAGAGGCGTTTTAAAATCAGCGATACGTAACGGGTCAAAGCAGACAATATCTACTAGCAGTAGACTTGGATTGTTCCAATTGGTATTAGAGCCAAACATGAGACGGTGTGCTAGCAAGAACGTTGAGCTCCCAAGGGAGGTGGGTTGTGAAATCCCACATCTGTTGGAGAAGAGATCGAAACATTTATTGTACATGTGTGAAAACCTCACCCTAATAGACGCATTTTAAAACTGTGAGACTGATGATAACACATAACGGACCAAAAGCGGACAATATCTGCTAACAGTAGACTTAGGGCGTTACAAATGGTATCAGAGCCAGACATGGGAGCAGTGTGCCAACGAGGATACTAGACCCTCAAGGAGGGTGGATTGTGAGATCACATATCGATTGAAGAGAGGAACGAAACATTCATTACAAGGGTGTGAAACTCTATCTCTAATAAACACGAGCGTGAAAGTCTATCTCTAATAGACACGATTTAAAATCATGTGACTGACGGCAATACGTAACGTGTCAAAACAGACAATGAAGCGGTAATTGAGCTCGAGAAATGAAACTAGGCATTGTGGGCTTAAAATAGAGGAGTGATGCAGCCCAAATTGAAGAAAAAGAGGAGGAAAAAAAAAGGAAGTGGTCAGTTCAGTCATTCACTAACGACATGAAGGTCAGAGCAACAGTTCCCCAAAACCAAGCCAAGTAAGTGAATGCCCCCTTTTTGGCATCACCCTTCCTCTCTTCTATTTATGTCTCTTCCGCACCCGACATGTCTTAACCTTGTCCACTGATAGCTCTACCCTTTCACGATGGCTATGCCATTCCTCAAACTGGCTATTGTTCTTGCTGTGTTCTTCTTCTTCTTCTCACCTGTTCCTCCTAAGTCAGGTAATGATGCATACAATCTCACATCTCTGGTTCTGTTATTCACTTCTAAGGACCCTTTTGTTCTTGCGTCCAGTTGGGTTGGTTTTGGAGGCAAACATGAAGATTGGTTCACGGCCGCCGGGATGTGTGAATAAATGCATGAGTTGTAGGCCGTGCATGGCGGCGGCGGCGGTGGTGCCGGTGCATAAGATGAAGGGGAAGGCCTTCAATGCCATTGCTTCCTCTCGGGAGGAAGAGGGTAGCTATTATCTTCTCTCGTGGAAATGCCAATGTGGGAATAAGATCTATCAACCCTAGCCTACCAATGCGAATTCGCACGGTCGGTTGGAGATGGGTAAAAAATTAAAACAACGGGAAGCTCAGAAGTGAAAACTTAAACTTGAGGAGAGGCTCGGAAAAGTCCAAACAAGACAATATCTACTAATTGTGGACTTGAGCTGTTACAACTTACAAGTTTTATCAGTCTCGTCTTTTAATCAAAAGTATGTTTAAATTATTTGAGGTATCAAAATGTAGTTCAAGTATGTAAATTTTTTATACCGATTTTCTTTTATATATATTTAATGATAAAAGTTTATATAATTCGATAGATAAGACATTGATTATTATTTTAAAGTTCGATGCATCTGACCTTCCGGTGGTTGAACTCAAAAGAAATTATTATTATTTATATATATATTTTTTTAAATTTTAATATATTAAATTTCCATTATTTTGATCAATTTGGGCCGAGTTAGCCCATACAATCCAGCAAGGCGACTTACTGGATTTGGGCCGGCCCATGTGGCATAAGCCCTTAATGGAAAGGAATAAGTAATAAGTGAACAGAGAAATGGAATCGGAGTTGATGCTTCCATGCTCGGCTAATGGCAACGTTCTCTAGCTCTCTGCAACATTCTTCACAGTTCGTTCCCGCCTTTCCTCTCTGTTCATGCTTCCATACTCGGCTGGAAATCGGCTTCTCTTCGCTTCCTTATGCTCTTCTTCGATCCTTGAGCTGCATCCGCCGTGTGTAGCGCAGCAATACGGCGGCCTCCAGACTCCGATCCGCCTTCCGAGAAGGATCTGTTCGTCTAATAGGTTCCTTTTCGTTGCTGATGTTATCTCCATTTTATTTGCTTAATGGGATGAATTTCTCGTGATAAGGCCTAAAATTTTTAGTGCGTATAACTAGTGATGTAATTGCTTATTTCTAGTGCGTTTTTGAACCGTAGGTGGAGAAGTCTACGTTGTCCTTGTTTCTATGGAATGGTCTGCATAATCGAAAATAAAAATTATTATTAGCTCATGAATTTAGCTCGCCTTGTGCTAGTGGTCGTCATACAATTAATAACAATGTTATTTATCCATTTTGATTTCTGGTAGTTTAGAAGTTAATCATCCGTAAAAACTGTTCGGGTTTTTAGTCATCCGGAAATTTGTTAGGCCTTCGGATACATATGTGCTTAGCCATAATATTAGCTTATGTTTTATTTTGGATGTTTGTTAGGTAGGAAATATTGCTCTATATACGTTTTAAATATGTCATAAATCATACCGGAAAAGGAATTATCGCATTTGGAGTGTGCGATTCTGGTGCATGTGCAGCTTCTCTTTGGAATTTTTCATTTAGTATGGGGGCAAACTTCAAATGCCAATTATGAAGAAATTCGTAAACTAAATCTGAGTATCAATGTTTAGCTGCAAGTGGAAAGGCATTTTCCGCATCCATGACAGTTGTTTTATTGGAAGAATAATGGCTGTTTTTAGGATTCAACTTCAGTTCCGAGTGTAAGATGAAGGAAGAGTGTATTCTATTCTAGCCCCTTATATGGCTGCTGGCGATTTTTGGTCTTTAAAGGTGATAAATCACAATTCCGCCCGATTGTTGGCCAAGTATTCATTTTTGTTCATGATACCTAACATGTGATCTTTTAGCACGAAATGGGATGGAAGTGACGTTGTGGTGATTTGAAAGTTATCTAGCTTTTCGACCTTAAATTGGTGTACTTCTTCCAAACTTTTAAACTTTTTTGTGAATGTGGCTCCTTGAGTATGGCCAATTTGAATGTTTTTTGCAATTTTCTTGCAATTCTAGGAGATTGTTTATCTTCATCTTTTCTACTAATCTCTTAATAGTGAATTTAGTGTTTTGTTTAATAACAGAAGAATGGAGAGACAGAGAAAGTGAAGGAACAGGAAGTGCCTTTCATAAGTTGTTCTTGAGAATCATGGCCCAAGAATTGGGATGAATAACTAATGGCCCAAGAATCAGTTACGGAAAGAATTGGTAACAATGAATCAAGGAAGCATGACTGTGGAAGTATACTGCACAAAACTCAAAACAGTTTGGCAAGAATTGAGTGAGTATCGACCAGTTCAAGAATGCTCCTGTGGAGTCTTACAAGCTTTGTTGATCATTTGGAATTTGAATTCGTACTGATTTTCTGATGGGTCTTAATGAGATTTGTACGACTAATTCGTGCACAAATTATTGTAATGAATCCTCTTTCGTCCATGATTAAAGTTTTCTCACTTTTGCAGGGAATGTTAGTCCTTCAGATCCTGTTGCGTTAATTGCTGCTGCTGCTGCTAAAAGAGATCTGCCAATGAAAAATCATGGAAGAAAGGGACTCAACGCTCTGTTTGCAAAATCCGTTCACAGTCCAACTTTCTGACCAGCCTTAATACCGATCAATTCACACAGCTAATGGAGATGGGTGGAAGATGGTTCGGAGGGAGTGGGAGGTTGGCTAACGAGATATTATGAGTTTATAAATAAAGGTTCAAACCTTTTCAAGGAAACCAAAAGCAAGCCAGGACAGTTATATACTGTCCAACTGGACAGTATCTTGCCATGATGGAAATTCATGATTTCTAACCTGGTATAAGACTTATAATTTTAACTTAGTAATGTTAATAAAATCTTCAAGTATCGAACAAAAAAGTTGTGAGTCTCGAAGGTGTAGTTAAAAGTGACTTAAGTGTCAAACAAGGGATGTATTTTGTCCGATGGCTCTAGAATATCGAGCTTCAATGAAGAGAAGGATTTATGGTGTACTTTATTTAAGGGGCGGAATGTTGGGAGGGAGTTCCACGTGCTAATTCTAATTAAGAAGAAGAAGATCATGAGTAGGAATACATTGTCATTGGTACACGGAACGAGAGTTCATATTTAAAGTGGACAATGTTATATCGTTGTGAAGCCTGTTGGCCACTCGTTTGCAATCGGCTAAAGGAGAACCTATTCGGCTGCAACTGCTACCACTCATTCACCAGGTATTTGTTCTTTACTCTCATCTCCCATTTCATCAAGCTTCCAGTTATATTTCCAATAATTCTGATTTTTGTATGCTCTTCGAGTCAAGTTTGATTTATATAACTCAAGTTTTCAAAAACTTTTCCACATGCTAAAAGCTACAGTTTTGTTATTTCCGTCGGTACCACAGGTTATCAAGAGCCGTCCACGTGTACAACGACGCCAGAATGGTGGGTCCCCTGACTCTGGTGCGTTGCATCGACGTGTCGTACGGCAGGAGGTCGAAGCTTGCATTGGCCCTCTGGTGGCGAACCCACAGGTTGACAACTAACCCTAAAGTATCTATTTCACTGGCTCAGCTTTTTCCATGTTTGTCTTCATCCTTTGATGCCCATGTCTACGATCCAAATATTTCTGAAAAATAAATTTGCGCATTTCCCATTAAAGTTTTAACATTTTTTTTACTTTTCCCTCACATTTTCAAATCCCTTTTTTAAGTTTTATCTCACTTCTATACCCTCTTCAATGATGTATAAGAGATGGATTCTATGTTCGATATTATCAAGCTAAAAACTTGTCAGGTAAATATTTGAAATTTGAATAAATTTAGTTTAATAGTATAGTTTTATAGTTACTTTTAATAGGATTAATATTTTAAATTTTAGTGTGTGAGTCAAACTTGCAAATGTTCAATTTAAGTGTATTTTTGAATTTTTAGAATAAGTTTAATATATTATTGAAGCTTTATTTTTAATGGTTTATTGTTTTTCATCAAAATCAACAAAATTCTTTTAATTTTTGTAGAAAAAAATTTAGCCTTCCATCGCCGCCCCTATATAAATCTCTCCTGCCACTGATTCTAAGAATGGAGGCGTACCCATACTCTTTTGTCTCTGACACTTTGGTTCCATAAACTCCCATCAATAATTCTCACCCAATGCTTTGACTTCATAGTTCCACCTTCTTCTTCAATCCCATCTCCCAAAATTCCTTATTTCAAAGCCTACAAGCATGCTGTTGAGAAGTTCTTCAACCCCAATTTTCAATTCTTGGCTTCACCAAACCAAATCCTCCCCTTCAGAATCGGACCAAGTCCACCAGCTTCAAAGAACCAAGTCCCTCTCATTTCACCCTCCTCCAGTGCCTTTATTGAAAGAATCGGCGAACAAAGTTACTCAGAACTTGCTCGACTCAGATTCGGCAGATCCCAGAAAGAAGATTCCGGTACCGAGGAGTTGTAAAGCTCGATCAAAAGTGAAATCCAGGGAGAATGGAGTACCAGTTCGAGACCAAGAGCTCAAACCGGCGTTGGATTCGTCTTCGTCTTCGATTCATGGAGTGTTTTACAATTCTGGGTTGGGTTTGAAATCTCCAAATGATGAAGTTCGCGATGAGAAGAGGGATGCATGTGTTTTGCAAACGCTGGTAGTCGGCGGTGGTATGGGGAGCGACGGCGGCCGGGTCTGTGGCGGCGGAAGAGGTTCGGACGGTGGTGGTGGAGGGGATAATGGTAGGTCAGGGTTTAACAATCACCATGGAAGCAATAGCACCGATGCTTATTATCAGAAGATGATTGAAGCGAACCCAAACAACGCTCTTCTACTTGGAAATTATGCCAAGTTCTTGAAAGAGGTGTACTTTGGTTATCTTCTAATCTCTTGGAAAATTCTTCAATGGCTGACGCTTCTGATTATGCTCTTCAATTTAGGTCCATGGAGATTTTTCCAAAGCCGAAGAGTTTTGTGGAAGGGCAATTCTGGCTGATCCGAACGATGCAAATATTCTATCGCTGTATGCCGATCTGATTTGGCATACACAGAAGGATGCTCAACGAGCTGAGTCATATTTTGATCAAGCTGTTAAAAGTTCGCCAGATGATTGGTAAGAATAGATTAAAATTTCAGCTTGAGAACTGATTGATTCTGGTTTAATTTCCTAGAAAGAGATTTTGTTGTCTGGTGATTAATTCGTTTACTTTTGATTGTTCTTGATAATAGATCAATTTGATTTCGACATGAATTCAAGAACTTGAACAGATCATAACTTCAATGTCAATCCATTTACTTAAAATTCATTGGTTGTGAACATTCCAATCTGATTCTGGCTTGTATCTTTTCTTCAAGATTTGAGAAGTTGATCTTCGTTACCATGTGGTGTAGTCTAGTTGTCATCAATTTAAATCAATTACATTTTATAATCAGAATCTCCCAGTTAAACTTGTTTAAGTTCTTGATCAAGTGTTGAAATGGATAGAGTATTTCATAAGTCTTTGCTTCTCTGTTTATGATATTGTTTCAATTCAAAGTTAATTTGGTTGTCACAAAATCTTCTTCTCTGTTTACAGCTATCTCCTAGCTTCATATGCACAGTTTCTTTGGAATGCCGATGTCGATGAAGATGACAATCCAGCAGACCAGTATGAAACAGAGGAAAGCTGCCCGTCTCCACCTGGTTTCGCTCATGGAGCTCCTCACCATTCTCCTCTGGCTGCAGCTTCATAATCTCACGAAATATGTAGCACTCTACTTCCCACTGTAAGATAACTAAAATAAAGCATCAGCTCATTACCCTCTTTTGCTTTTAGAGTATATGTAATTTTGGCAGAATGAGTATGATTCTCTAACTGTAACCTTTCTATTACTTATCTTATGTAAAAAGTGAATAAATAAAGCTTCTCTGGCCTTTTTCCAGTATGTTGTATAGAGGAAGATTTAGTATCATCTTTCTTTCTAGCACTTGTTTTACCCTTGTGATAAAATTACTAATCTGAAGGTTTTGTTGGTAACAACTGAACGGTCGAGATTGGACGTGGGTGTACAAGCCCCCGATCCCGATCCGAGTATGAGGAACTATGTGTTTGATTAAAGAATGAAAAAGATAAAGTTGGTAGTATTTAGTACTTGATTTGGTTGGCATAGTGGAAGATTATAGGGATAGATTGGGTTGCAAATTGTAGCAAGATCTTTTTCTTGTATGTGGCCATTTGCAGATATGCTGTGTTTGTGGTTTGTGGATGGTTTCATCAAATTTGGGTCACTTTTGATGTCATTATCTTTCATGCATCAACCAAGCTGTTCCAGAGCATGCTTTAAAGTATTTTAATCTTGTAATATAAACTACAATTTTAGTGTTAGTACGTTGTTAATTAGTATGAGATACTTTCTTTTTTTCCTTTGAAGTTAGAGATTTCGATTCTAATGTACGCATCTATTTTAATTTTTAATTTGAATTGCTTACTTTACAGGCGTTATTAAGGAAAACGAACACGAAGACCCAGATACTTCCAAGGACAACACGAAGATACGACATACACGGTTAAATTTTGCCTTTTGTGTTAATATATTTCATATTTTGCAAGCAAGCTAGTGAAGTATCTCTTAGCTTATCAACGAGTTCACAGAATCAAAACAGAAAGGCGGCAAAACCGTTGGCAAAACTGTTGAATCAGTCGACAATCATGTTTATATAAGATCGCTGTGTCGAAATGGTTCAACAATCATGTTTATGGAAGATCGATATGCCAAAATCGAGAGAGAAAAACATAGAAGACGGCGAAACCGATTTGATATCTCACTTATACTAAAAGAGTATCCATTTGTAGGCTTTAATTTGTATTACTAATGAATGAAACACTTTTTAAGTGTTTAGGGAGAACTCATTGTTATCTTCTTATCATTATTTATCTAATCTAATCTTATGCATTATTACTAAAAAGCTACTAAATTATTAATCATATATTTAACTTTAAAACATTAAATGTCTCATTAATTATAACAATCATTTCAAGAAAGGATAGTTGTTGAATTTGCAAGTTATTTCTAAATCTTATTTAAATCATATCTCATTAACATAATTTGTGGTGCACTAAAGTAGCAACTGATTGGAATGTTTAATTTGATCAATCAAACTAAAGCCAAAAAGTAAACATACTTCCAAAACATCAATTAGTGCCATTTCGTGGCGAAGATGGATGACATTTACGGTCTTAAATCATCAATCCTTGGTTGAATCAAACAAGTTCGATCAGTTATTTTCAAACAATTCACGCTAAGTTAGTTGTTTTAACTCTTCAGTGATGTCTAACGATCGTTCATTGGGCAAACCGAGTGGGTCATGTTGTTGGTGGATCATCATGAGAAGGATGCTTCATCCATGGTCTAACTCTTTAGTGATGTCAAACGCCCATTGTAGCGGGATCTTCCGGTAAGGATGCTTCACTCTCATTCCTCGCCTCGAAAGTTAACACCCTTAGTTTCGTTAAGGAGATCCAAGTTGAATAAATATTTTTACTTTCTTTACATTTCCATAGGGCATGGATGTCGCCCTCAACGATGACAAGTTGGACAATCGCTATAGGAAAAGAAATTTTGTCGGGTTGGAAGAGCCATGAGGCAAGCTCGTCTCATAAAAATCTTAAATTTTTTAGGATGTTACTTCATACCGTCTTCCACGTGCCCACAATTTCTTGGTTTGTCGAGGGGAGAACACATAAGGGATGTTTTACCATATCGTCCTCTATCTTCACTACTTGATAACTCGAGCATGACTCCAATAGATCATTCCAAAAATCATTGGTTCAAGACTCCGCCCAAAGATGGTTTAACTATATATACACGTTGTGAGACAGTTCGGTCTATATTCGGTGTGGGCGTTAGAGCATTGAGAGGACCTTTCCCTAGTACGAGAGGACCAAGAAGGACGCACCTTTGGTGTACCAGTTATCGTGCCCACAGTAAACGCTGGGTAGCCAAGTGCGGAGTGGATAACTGCTGAAAGCATCTAAGTAGTAAGCCCACCCCAAGATGAGTGCTCTCCTATTCCAACTTCTCTAGAGCCTTCGATAGCACAGTCGAGACAGCGATGAGTTCTCTGCCCTGCGGGATGGAGCGACAGAAGTTTTGAGAATTCAAGAGAAGGTTATGGCTAGATGAGCCGTTTAATGGGATGGAGCTACAGAAGTTTTGAGAATTAAGTTTTGAGAATTCAAGAGAAGGTGATGGCTAGATGAGCGGAAGTGGAGTGATGTATGCAGGTGATTTATAACATCCGTTTATATATATATATATATATAGGTCCAGTAATCTAATAAATGGGCTTTGATGAAAGTTTAACAAGGCCCAATGGTATATAATTCTATCTTAAATGGTTCAAGTAAATTTAGTTGTGGATGGATAATTATTTGACGATCGAAGGCGTTTACAAAGCGTACCGAAGACGAACGATTTCTTCGAGCGAGTGAAAGAAAGATGATTAAGGAAGATCTTCAAAACCCAGTTGAAGGAGCTAAACATGAAGTACCTTTTTCAAGCTTGGAAGAAATGGTGTTTCTCACTCTCTTTTCTCTTCTAACTGTTTCGTTTTTCAGCTTTCGACTCTTGTTTTTATGTTGATTCTGTATCTGTGTGTCTCTAATTTTTGCTTGAATTTCATTTTCTTTGGTAAATTATACTCTGGGATTCGCTTTCTGCTGAGTTTTTAGTTCTAGGGTTCTTCAATGTAATCGCTCTTTGCCGTTGCAGGGCTTTATGATTAGGATTTTCCCTTATTTAGGATGCATTTAGATTTGAAATTTGCTGCTTGTGGTGATGGTTTCTGCCTTTCTGATGCTATTTTTCTGCCTTTCGGAGTGTTTTCTGTCGGTATCTTTGGTTCCGCCGCTACTCCTCTGCATCACAGGGGAGGAGTAATGGCAATAATGCTTCAAGCCGTGATTTCAGGTACAAGATTCAGATGTTCATGGAGAAAGAAGTCTGATTATGTAATAAGGAATGAAGACAAGGGATTGATAGTTTCAAACTTAAGCTTTGGCCCGTAGATTCATCCTAGAACGAGGTCCATTTTCTGAAATAATTTGTTGTTTCTTCCATAGTTTTGCATAGAGAACTTGCCAATATTGTTTTGAATGATATACAAAAATCACCCATGCCTTGTCTTTACAAAACTAATGTTTCCCCGATTGCTGCAATTGTGATATTTCATGTTTTGTTCGTATCAGTTTACGTTGGAAATCACTAGAAATCACGACCCTCCACATTGGTATGATATTGTCCACTTTGAGCATAAGCTCTCGTGGCTTTGTTTTTGGCTGGCTTACCCAAAAAAGTCTCGTGCCAATGGAGAAGTATTCCTTACTTATAAACTCATGATCATTCCTACATTGGTGGGATTACTTCCCAACAATCCTCAACCCTTCCTCGACCCTTCCTACCCAAGAAGGGGGAGGAACACCAAAGGAAGAATGATATTATGTTTGTAGCACCCACGGGCGAGGAGATCAATAATAGAAAACAGCTTGAGCAGTACTTGAAATCACATTCCGAAGACGTTGCGGTATCGGATTTTGATTGGAGTACTGGTGAAATACCCAGGAGATCTGGTAGGATTAGTGAGAAGGCAAAGCAACTCCACCACAGGAAGAGCCTCCAAGGAACACAATGAAGCAGAGAAAGGTATTGATTCATGCTGTATGAAACAGGAAAAGGCAGACGTTTGTAATATTGAGGAAAATGGGGCTGCTGGACAAGAGAATTGCAGTAGAATTGAAAAAACACCAGCATCCGATGGAACGATCACAGAAAAGGAAGACACACAAAGACATATCCAGTCTTAGAACAGAAGGAACAATAACGAAAGTGAGGTTACTATCTCCCCCTCCCCGACTCCCCCGGGCATCATCAGAACTTGCACAGCTAAATTGTGAGATCCCACATCTGTTGGAGACGGGAACGAAAAATTTCTTATAAGGGTGCGGAAACCCCTCTCTAGATGCGTTTTAAAACCGTGAGGCTAACGATGATATGTAATGAGTCTAAGCGGACAATATCTACTGGTGGTAAACATTCCTTTTAGGGATTGCAGCTACGGCTCACTTGGTGCTATTAGCTATTGGATCATCATGGTGATTGCACACTTGATTTTTCCTTTCAGGGTCCCAATCAGCTTTGTAATATGAACGTTTCGAGTAGTATGATGTAGATACGAACACAATCCTAGTTACATCGTTCCACGAGTTCGAGTTGAAGAAGACTTTCTGGACAAGACCAAGGACAACATCTTTATTAGTATTAGTATGTGAAAGCATTGTTTGAGCTTGATTTGTTTTAAGAATATTGTGTTTCCATGAATGTAAGGAGATTTTTCACCAACTCTTAGCTTCCACGAAATGGGAAAAATCTTCACCAACTCTTAGCTTCCACGAAATGGGAAAAACCTAAAAGAAAGAAAGAGGAGACTTAGGGAAGTCAAGGGAAAATACAGCATTTAATTTAGTCACGATCTAATGATACAAAATAATTGTCTGTCACGTCCGAACTTTCCTTTACCCGTTACGATCTAATGATACAAAATTGTCTGTCACGTTACGAGACATTCAAATTCTCCAGCTTATTGAGTGGGACACGTGAGAGAAGGGTGGAGTTTTGAACACGTTGGTGTGACAAATGGGAAATGAAGGCAATTAATTGCTCCTTTTGTTTATATTCTTATCTTCCAAACCAAAAATCCAAGTTGTAAGCAGTTTACTTTGACCACACCACCGGCTTCCTCTCCCCTTCTTCCTTCCACGGCCGCCGCCGTCTCTCCTTTTCTCCTTTACCCGTTCTCCACCTTCATACTTTTCCACACTTTGTTCTCTATAAATTTCCACCCCTTTCTCCATTTAACAATCAACAACAACACACACTGCTTCTTCTTATATTATTGACTCACTCTTCACCCATGCCCGCCGCCGCCGCCCCTCTTCCTTTCCTTTTCTGTTTACTTGCGGTGCTTCTTCTTCAACATGCCACCGCTCAGACCACTCATGATGTTGGCGGCTCCACCGGTTGGACTGTTCCAACCGGCGGCGCTGCTTTCTACTCCGACTGGGCTGCTGGAAAAACCTTCTCTGTCGGCGATTCACTCAGTAACACCTCCATCACTTTGCTTTTAGTTTCTTCAAAAGCCTTCCATCAATTTCTTACTCTTTATCTATAAATTCATGATCAACCCCTTAATTAGTCGACTCAAGATGTATTCCTTATCTATACATCCATGATAAACCCGTTAATTAAACTAATGTTATATTAGTATTGGATTTGAATATAATTGGTTTGGTTTTTGCAGGATTTGCCTTCGCAACAGGATCGCACAGCGTACTAAAAGTATCATCAAAAGAATCGTTCGAGGGTTGTAGGTTCGAGAACGGCGATAGCGATATCATGACGACAGGTCCGGCGACGGTGGCGCTGAACAGCACGGGCATGCACTACTTTATTTGCACTATTGGCACACACTGTTCGCTTGGCCAAAAGGTAGCCATCAATGTGGGCGCCACCGCTGCCGGTGGTCCGATGTCACCCCCCATGCCTGCCTCACAATCACCGCCGCCGTCGCCTTCCTCCGCCAATGCAGTGACGGCAACCCTTTATCTCACTTTCTCCGCCGTTGTTATGGCCCTCTTTTAGATTGCATTTTTCATAATTAACGTCAGATTGTTTAGAGTCCACAGATAGTGAGGGATTCCATTTCTTTTGTCTTCCAATAAATTTGCTCATTTTTGTCCCTTTTTTTTTAATAAATTAATAATTAATCTATTAAATTTTAAGAATTTAATATGCCACATATGATAATTTAAAATTTTAACAAAATAAATAAAATAATACTATCAATTTCACACCACATATAAATATTTTATAATTTATCATGTAAACTTTTCTAAAACCTTCTTGAATTGAGGTTAGAGGCTCGAGCCGTTTGTGGCGACGCAAGAACGAATAGGCTTAACTCACTTGTGGTCGTAGGCGACGCAAGAACGAAACGAATAGGCTTAACTCACTTGTGGTCGTAGGCGACGCGAGAACGAATAGGCTGAACTCATTTGTGGTCGTAGGCGACGCAAGATCGAATATGCTGAACTCATTTGTGATCGTAGGCGACGCAAGAACGAATAGACTTAACTCACTTGTGGTCGTCGGCGACGCAAGAACGAATAGGCGAATAGGCTTAACTCACAAGAACGAATAGGCTTAATTCACTAGTGGTCGTAGGCGACGCGAGAACAGATAGAATTCAATTCACTGTTGCTGGGAAGTAACTCATAGACACTTGTTGCTGGGAAGTCGAATTGTGAAAAGTGGTCTAAATGAAATTAAAATTTTGTAATTGTGAAAAGATATCTAAATGAAATTAAAATTTTGTAATTAAATTTGACACAATTTGTGAGCGATATCAACGTATATTTATTTATTTATTTATATTATTAGGAAATTTAATTTTGGAAACTCATTAAAAATTGAATATTAATATAAAGTTTGATTTACTTTGCAATATGAATCCACTGATTTTTTATTCTTTCTTTTGTCATATATGTTCTTAAAAAAATCAAAGTCAATTTTGTAGACTAAAATAATTGACCCATTTAATAACTATTTGACTTTTAATTAATTATTTTTATAAATGGTACATATTTTCTCACAGTTGATAGTCGATTTTAAAAACTATATATATATATATCTTAATTTTAAGAAATGGGCTTGAATTATTCATCATTGGAAATTAAAAAAAAATAATATATGAGTGATATTGTTGATAGATATTTGTGTGGCGTTGAAAAGAGGAGTGGGCCCATAAAATAAGTGGGTATCTCATTATACATGTGGGTGAAAACAAAACACCCATGCTTATAATTTAATGGTTTACAGTTAAACCAAATCTAAACTTAATGGAGTTAGGTTACCCAATTCCATCAATCATAATTATCATTTTTCTAAATATTATTTTACCAAGTTCTTCAAATGCATTTATAATAATTATAAGCTCCTGTTTTAAATAATAACAATATAAACATTTTTACACCAATTTTATAATTTAACCTAAATTACTCATCTTGTTTTACTAATTATTATCCGTACGGTTTAATGATATGATAACCATACATACATACATACATACATAGGGAAGGCGAATGCATATGATATGCATTGGTGGGCCCATGGGGGCTTTTCCTTCAACGGGCAGAATTATTTCTAAAAGGAGAAAAATCCAAGAAGAAAATGAAAAAGGGTCTAATCCCCTGCGGTGGGATCCATTTCAGTACCGTCTTCGTCAAAACTGTCGCCGTTGATCTGATCAAGGATGAGCACCAACCCCATGGCGAAGGCCCCATCGAAGCCTGGCTTGAGGATGAGAGAGAAGACGTCCTTCCCAAGCACCACGTTAGTGGTAGCATCTACTTTGCGTTTAATCTCAGCCATTGGTTCCTTTGCCGCATTGAAGATCGTGCAGTTGCGGTTACCGAAACACCCCTCGATCTGGTACTCGTCGCCGGAACCCTTGAACACCTCCACCGTCATGCTCGACCGTCCGATTATCGACGAACGTCTCACGTTGAAGATTGGCTTCTGTCCCTCCGTTCTCTCACCTACGAATCCTTCCCACCGGTGATGTAAACTCGGCCTCTGTTTGTCATTTCTTTCTAGTTATTCATCGATTTTTCTGGTGCACTTACAGTTTAACTATGGAAATCGAAAATAAACAATGAAAACTGAATCACTAATGGCTTCGATTCAGCATGAGGATTAACCGAGCCAGGTCTCTCGGCCCGATGCGCCTCAGTGAATCGCACTCCATTATTGTTCGCACTCGATTATTTGTTGCAGTAAAGAAATCCAGAATCTCATTTCCGAGGCAACAAATTCAAAATCTAGCAACTAAAATCAAGGTTACTCGCCGAGTGGAATCAGAGAAATTAAAACCAGAAAACAACCAGAGTGAATCGCAGAGGAAAAGGAATCGGATCCAGAATCATCAATCTCAACAAGAACAGAGGAAACGATTCTAAAAACTACGGAATCGAGTAGAGATTCAAATAGGCAAAACAGAAACGAGAATGAAGATAAGCGAGAGGCATTAGTATTACCTTCCGGCGAACAGTGAGGAGGCACTTGCCTTGCGCGTCCATGAGAACGATTTCATCCTTCTCGCGCGCATCTGGACCGTAGGAATCGACTCTGAACACGAGCTCGCCCTTGCAATCATAGACGGTATAGCCATCGCCTGCAAAGAAGAGAGAGGTTTTCATAACAGTGAGATGTTTCTCCTCGTTATACACGAAGGTATCATCCACGATTACGCCTAATTCTTCCATCTTCTTCTGCAAGCCTAGAAGCTTTCTTTCTGCAACTGAACAACAAAGAATGTGAAAGAGCTTCGGTAATTGCAGGTCGTTAACTGGAAGGAGACGAAATTGAGAGCGACAAGATGAAGATGGGAAGAATTTATATTTTGGGCGGTGAGTTCTGGATCTCATGAAAATTAATACTAATAAATGGAATCTGATAATAATACAATTTTTAAAGACCTCTGCATATAAATAGTATTTTTCGTATCATTTGAATATTTTATCGATTAAAACTGTGACCGAAATCTAAGATATTGTTCTTCATGTTCATTGTTAAATCAGAAAATATAAAATAATGTCTTGTTGACACATGAGTGTATTAGGTGTTTGATCTTTGAGATACTCTTAACATTATAATTTCTTGTTTTTTCAAGACCCAGGCCCACCCCCTTTCGAGCTTGATCTCCTCCTCAACCAATGTGAGACATCACAATCCACTCCCTTCGGGGCCCAGCGTCCTTCCTTCCTCCAATCGATGTGGGACCATCCCCCTTCAGGGCTCAGCTCGCTGGCACTCCTTCCTTCCTCCAATCGACGTGGGACCATCCCCCTTCGGGGCCCAGCGTCCTTACTGGCACTCCTTCCTTCCTCAATCGATGTGGGACCATCCCCCTTCTGGGCTCAGCTCGCTGGCACTCCTTCCTTCCTCCAATCGACGTGGGACCATCCCCCTTCGGGGCCCAGCGTCCTTACTGGCACTCCTTCCTTCCTCCAATCGATGTGAGACCACCCCCCTTCGGGGCTTAGCGTCCTTACTGGCACATCGCCTCGTGTCTACCCCCTTTGGGGAATAGCAAGAAGTCTGACACATCGTCCGATGTCTGGCTCTGATACCATTTGTAACGGTATAGGCCCACCGCTAGCAGATATTGTCCGCTCGTCTGCTAGGGGAAGACTTCCACACCCAAGTGGTGGTTTGTTCTCCTCTCCAACCAATGTGGGACATCAAAACTCTGAGTTTTTTTTTAAATAAAATTTAAAAAATAACATAAATTTTTAAATTTTTTTATTCAATAGAGGACTGCATTGCAGACTAATCAAATATTAATTTAAATATTACGTCTAATAGAACCTTCAACTTTTAACTTCATGTCTAGTAAATATATAAATAAAAAAAATCTCTCGAATCTTAAATTTTTAATATAATATAATTATTTAAGTTAAATATACTTAAAATTTTAAAAAATATGTTATGTTGTTTCTTGAGCTATTATTTATTATATTTTGGTTGAGGGAAATGAAAAAATGGAATTATTATTGCTTTAATGCATTGCCTTAAATAAAAAAATAAAAAAAAACAAATAAATAAAATAACGTTGTTTTAGTTATTTATTTATCTTTGATTTCCTTATATAAAAGATATATATTTACTATTAAGAAATAAAACTCCATAATATTTGTAGGTTTATTATAGACAATAAATAAATTATTGCTTTTAATTTTCATATTTTTAGAACGACATCGTTTTATCATTGCAATTTCTATTTTTAATAAAATATCTAAATTTAGAATTAAACTTAAACTTAAAATTAATAAATGTTAATAAATATTTGTAATTTAACCTATTAATGTAATTTATATAATCATTGATAATATAACTTATTTTAGTGAGTTTAATATTATAGTAATTTATTATTGAAAAAGAAATCAAATCTAAAAAGGTTAGGTTCTAGAAGATTTGAAAGCAAAATTTACCAAAAACATTATAATTTATGGCCCACTAAAAGAAATAGGTAAACTAATTACATTTATATTACTTTTTTCTCGAGCGTTTGGGTATATTTTTGTTTTATTTGGATGTTCGTGATTTAAGAATATTAAATTAATTTTAATAATTATTGTTATCGAGTGATTCACGTTCAATAAAATTGTATTGATTTCAAATACTTAAAAAGTCATTCGATAAAAATGTAATATTTTTTAAAAATATTCTTTTAGCATAAAATAAGAAAAAAATAATTGTTTTTTTTCTCCGACATTTAGGTTGACTTGGAAAAAGAAAAATCATGTCAAATTTTCAACTTTAATGCTAAATTAAAAATCATTGTAACCAATAAAATCGATATTGGGTGATAAAAAGATAGTTAGATTAATATTTTGGCTAAATTAATAAAAATATTTTTTGATTTTATATTTTATCTTAAATATATTTTTAAATTTTTTAAAAGTTGTAATAATATTCTTTAAAAAGAATTTAAAAATATCTTTGTCAGAAAACAGTTAACGGTTTCTTTTTAAAAAAATACTTTTCAACTTTAAAAAATGTTTCAAAATTTTAAAAAATAGTTAAGTTTAAAAAATACATTTACCGTTTTAAAAATAAATACTCACGAACTTTCAAAATTAATATTAAAAAGTTTAGAGATAATTTATAAAGTGTCGATAGACAATTTTTGTCCATATATAAGTAATAATAATTTTTTGAATTTATTTATTTATTTATATAGAGTTAAATGGTGTTACTACTGTTTTATAAAATCTCAACGTTCTGCACATCACTCGGTATCTAACTCTGACATATTTGTAACAGCCCAAACACACGGTTAATAGATCTATCCATTTTGGTCTATTATGTATTGCTATCAGTTTCACAATCATAAAATGCATATACTTAGAAGAAGTTTGCACACTATGCTTTGTTCCTCATGTCCAATCGATGTGGGATCTCACACATGAAAACATGCTTTTTAACGATCAAATTACCAAAATTACCAAAAAAATATAGCAACATCCATCAAATACAAATTATTCGTGGCTGTTCTTATCGGCCCAATTGGCAATGTACGAAGGCAACATTCAAATATTGTAGTGACTATTAGAGCAAAAAAAAAACAAAAATGTTCTGGAAAATCTAAAAATCTGTGATAGATTCTTAAAAAAACTTAAAAAATAAGGGTGGTAATGATATGAAATCCAGATATTTTATGAACAAACTGGAAGAATGTGCATTAAAATTCAAACTTGACAAAAGAATCGTGTCAATTTTCACAAAAAAAATCAAGGGGTTTTGAAAGTGAAATAAGATATTTACGAAAGAATCGAAATTAACCCCAAAATTTGTGTTTATAAATCGTTTCTTCCATTCCCTTTTTGAAAAATAAAATAAAAACCAACTCTGCATCTTCTCTACTTTTTATCCGCTTCAATTCTGGCCTCAAATATGCCATTGAGCTTCATCTCTCTCTGAATCGAAGCTCTGAAGCTGTTGATAATGGCGGCAACGAACACACCCATCTATGCATCTTCCTTGCAAACGTCTCTCGCCATAAGAACACAACGCAGAGGAGAATCATGCCCACAATCTACTCGAAATCAGGGTAACTAAATTCCAAGTCTGCTACTTCTAATTCTTTTTGCTTCATTTGATTCCATGGATTCTTAGGTTAATGGGGAATTCGAATCCAACTTTCAACATTTACAGTTCAAGATTGAGGAATCTGATTCATGTTCTTTGTGCTCATCTGAATTATTCAATGCAAAAATCGGCTATGCCTAGACCTCGAATAAGCGATTAATTGAATGATTCTTGTTTTCCCACTTTCTGTAGTGTACTTGTTTAGAATATAATAGCAGCGATTGTTCAACGGATGTGTTAAACCCTAAACCACCATTGAACTCAAAAGTTTAATCTTATGGCTACTGTAAATTTGATCTGTTATCAATATTTGATGTTTCCCACACTTGCTGGATGTTCGGGAAACGACATTTGTAACGGCCCAAGTCCACCGCTAGTAGATATTGTCCTTTTGGGCCTTCCCTTTCGGGCTTTCCCTCAAGGCTTTAAAACGCGTCACTAGGGAGAGGTTTCCACATCCTTATGAAGGGTGTTTTGTTCTCTGCCCCAACCGATGTTGGATTTCACAACATTACAGAAGTTCGAACATAGAATCACTTGCTATTGTAGTGTTTTCAAGTTCAAGAAGGGTTTTAATCGAAACTTGAATCGGAAGAGGAAGAAATCATTTTACATTCAGTTCCTTTACTACTTCTTGTGCAGGTTCTAATTTCTTCGGTTCGTCGTTACCGCGAGGCATTTTGAAGAAGAAGGATGTCGGAATTAGGACGGTCGGGAAGGTGATTGCTGCTGTGGCTGTTGAAGCATCTCCAACAGAGGAAATGAAAGAGTATGAGTAAATCTATAATGTTTCACAGTTGAGTCTGTGTGTGTAGCAGGCATTGAATGAGATAAATGATGAGAATGATCATATATTGTTCCGTTGTTCTTAGCATTTTTTTCATTGAAATCCATTGGTTTAGTTATTGCAATCTTCTAAGGACTGATGATTTGAAGTTGTGATGTTTTTGCAAACTGTTTGTCAGGATCAAACTTCCATCTTGGGCTTTGTTTGAGCTCGGACGGGCGCCGGTGTACTGGAAAACTGTGAATGGTCTACCCCCTACTTCAGTAAGGATAATAGCTCTTGTAATGGTTGTTTGATGTGTTTGTTGCTTATAATCTGAGAAGGCTGCATTGGTTCTATGATTTGATAGGGTGAGAAGCTCAAACTGTTCTATAATCCAGCTGCGACCAAGCTGGTTCCAAATGATGATTTTGGGATTGCTTTTAATGGTAATTCCCTGATATCCGTTCTCCTATTATGATAGCTCAAGTCCGTGCCTTCATCAATTTTCTGTCATTAGATTTTGTAACAGCTCGAGCCCACAGCTAGTAGATATTGTCCTCTTTGGACTTTTCCTTCAAGGTTTTAAAATGCGTATGTTAGGGAGAAGTTTCCGCACCTTTATAAGGAACGTTTCGTTCCCCTCTCCAACCGATGTGGGATCTCACAATTCACCCTGTTTGGGGGCCGTTGGCACACTGACCGGTGTCTGACTCTGATACCATTTGTAACGGCCCAAGTCCACTACTAGCAGATATTGTCTTATTTGGGTTTTCCCTTCCGAGGCTTTCCCTCAAGGTTTTAAAACGAATCTGCTAGGAAGAGGTTTCCACACCTTTATAAGGAATGTTCCGTCCCCTCTCCAACCGATGTGGGATCTCATAGATTCAATTATGTAAAATGTCAAAGGAAACAAAACATGCTCTCACACAAAGAAAAGAACTAGATACTTGGATTAATTTCGAATCGTTATGAGTTTTTGTTGGCTTTACCTCATAAAATCTGGGTTTTGATCATCACTACTAATGATT